ATCATCTGAAGATTCGAAAAAATCCTAATTCTTCGAGTTGCTCGATTATCAGGATGAAGCATTAGAGAAAAAAATTGTGGGTGTGAGTGTGTCGGGATGCTTGTGGGTGAGTGTAGGTGTGAGTGTGGGTGTGGGTGTTGGTATGATTGCAGAGCAGATGAAAATCCACAGCCACACCCACGCCCTTCTATGGATTTTTATGACATTCTAAGTATCATGAAGGTCTATTATTTACTATACCATGAATCATCTATCAACTATCAGTTAGTGAATAATACACGATAATCATATGATGACAATTATGCATTTAGTTTTTTATTAAAAAAAAGTCACTCAATTTTTCTTATAGACCATTTGATGGAGCTTTTTGCGCTCTCCGAATAACAGACTGACCTATCTACGTTGAATAAAGATAAATACAATCTGTTTGTACCCCACGTTTGCTTCTCAGCAATCGATTTTTTTGTCGAGATTCAGATGAATAAAAAAATTATTATTGTGATTTGTACCAAAGAAAGTAATTCAAATAAATGCAGTCCTTAATTTGCCGATGCGTTTCATGTTATTTATTAAAATAATGAAACACTCATCAGGGCTCTGCATTTACTGTTAAAACACCCAATATACTACTGTAAAAAAACACGCATATAGAAACACATGCACTACCAAAATAGGAGATATACGTATAGAACACATGCACAACCAAAATAAAAATTGCAAACGACGTGTAGAATACATGTACAACGAAAAAACAAAAATGATATAAAATGACAGGAAGAACAAAGAGGAGAAACATTAATTTTTTGGACGTAACTGTGAGCAGCGAACATAGACAGTATAATGAAAATGAACAATATCCATGAAAGGACAAACATCCTTCACTGGAATTATCTATATTGACGTAATATTTAAAATTTTCGCCAATACCATTGAATAATATTAATTAAAGGAGAAATGTCCTTTAGTCGAATCGTTTACATCTATGAATTGTTTAAATCTTCGCCAACACCATCGAAGTCAATATTCATAAGAGATTTGTTCTGAATTGCGATTCATTTTCTCTATCCCAGATGATTCAATCCGACCTGTAGATCCTACCGGAAACTATCGGATCCGATGTCGGATCACACCGGAATTCGTCGGGTTCCCAACTAAATCCGATCGGAACCCAACCGTATTTCACAGGATTCCTAACTAACGGATTCCGGACCGGATTACGTCGGAAAGGATCCGATCGGATCCTGTCGGAACTGTTTGTCAGATAATGGCGTAACCACCAGGATCCTTTCACAGAGAAACGCCTGATAACGTAAGGCTCCGACAGAATACAGTCGGATTTCATCAGAAGTTGGCTGAATCTGTTTCGATTGCACAAGGATTCAATCAACATTTCACACAGATTTCATTCTAGCATTCTCAAAATTTCCAAAGATTTACTAGAGATTTCTGACAAATTCATCTAGTTTTCCTCAAGATTTCTAAAGATTTCTCAAGGATTTCATCGAGATTTCTAAAGATTTCCCCAGCTTTTCATCCAGATTTCTGAAGATTTCCCAAGGATTTGATCAAGATTTATAAAGATTTCTCAAGGAATTCGTCGAGATTTCTGAAGATTCCACGAAGATTTCCCAAGGATTTCATCAAGAATTCTAAAGATTTTCCAAAGATTGAATCGACATTTTGAACAGATTTCACCAGGATGTTACCAAAATTTCTAAAGATTGCATCAGGATGTCATCAACAGTCTAAAGGATTTCAATTGTTTCAACTGGGATTATTCCTAGAATCCAACAATGTATATACTACGATCCTTCTTAAAATTGCACAATGCTTGTACTAAGATTGTTCCTAATAGATAGAACTTAGTTATACAAAATGGCAGAATTCACTTGATAAATGAAAGTAGAGAGTTCCTTATATAGATCGATATCTGTAAAACAAAACGGTGAATGAAATCTGTAGGAAATCGGATTTCCAGATTTTTATTTTGCTTTTTGAAATTTGTAAAAAGAGGAATATCTAATTGATTGATTAGCTCATTGATCCGTCAGAATATATTCTTATTCAAGAATCCGATTCCGTAGAAAACATAATTGTATAAGGAAATACATCATTTGAAGTAAAATTAATCTAAGCAACACTTTGGAAATTTATTCAAAATATTAAAGTAGAGACTTCCTTATATAGAACGATATCTGTAAAACAAAACGGTGAATGAAATCTGGACGAAATCGGATTTCCAGATTTTTGATTTTGTTGTTGGAATTTTGTAAAAATAGGAATATTTAATAAATAAATAAATTAGTTGATTGATCTGTCAGAATATATTCTAATTCATGAATCCGACTACGTGGAAAATAATACTGGATACCCAGAAAGAACAATCCGACAGTTGGATCTCGTCGGATCCTATCGGAAAAATTATCGAATTCGATGGCAATTCGACGGAATCCTTGGTATCGGATTCCGACAGGAAGTTGTCGGATGTCGGAAAGTGTCGGAAGTGGTCGGGATCTTGTTGGAACTCTGAAAATCCGACACTTTCCAACGTCCGACAACTTCCGACTAATTTCCATCGGATCCGATGGTGTGGGATCGGCCTGGGTATTCTGCATTCTTATATAATCCGACAAGTTCCGATACCAGTGATTGATCGGTTTCATCATGGAATCCGGTGTCATTTGAAACCGCAAAATCCGAGAATTTCTTGACATCAGATTCCCCGGAATCCCATCGGAAGCGAACAGATCTTGAGATCGGATCTGACCAGTTCCGAATGTATGAATCTAGTCGGAGCTCGATGAATCTGACCGGCGGATATCAAAGAAAAACAGTGGATAGCATCGGAATCCGACAAAAAGTAACCGACCGAATCCGATTAGCCGTATCTCAACGGATTTCAAACCTATCTGACAGGATCCGACATAGCTATTTCGACCTGGGATATCTTGAATTTTGATTTAATCAGTAATATTCTTTTCAATATTTTATTCTTATATATATTTCATTCCATGTTCAATCAATGTTCCTAGTCAATTTGTACTTTCATGGTTAAGTTTTTCTTGTCTTAACCATTTGAATCAACATACTCCCAATATCATTGAAATAAACATTGTGTATAAATTTAATTTTCAATTAATCTTTTCAATTGGTTCGTTATTTATAAAAAATTTTAAAATTATATATGGGAGTGATCAACTTGACTGATTGCCCAGGGGTTGATTTATTGATCTACGCATTAGAAAAATCTGATTTTTTTACCAGTTACACTACACATATAATGCTATTGATCTATCACTATTTGAAATTTACATATCACTAGAAATGAGAATTATTAAGTGCATCTTTGTATTTATTGTGCTAAACGTGCTTCATATCGTATTTGTTTACATCTTGTTCTCAGTATATATATTATTCATTCTATTCTAGCGTATTTAAGTCATTCTTGTTCTAGCTGTGATCCTTTTCACTTTCTTTCGTTCTTCGTTTTCTTTAACATATTTTCTATCGATAACAAACACATAGTACGCTTGAATTATGTTTTCTCCACGACTTGAATGGAATTGTGCTGAATATGGATCCGTTCCAACTGATCGTCGAAAATATTGTATCGATTACAATTCGATGTAAACTTGGATCTGCACTGGCTCGGGAAGGTCTGGTTTGTACAACAATTATTGTCGTCATCGTGACAACTGTAATTATTGTACACCAGAATTTGAAAAAGAAAGACAAAAAAAAATTGGGAGAGAAGGAAGTTGCTATTCAGCAACATTTTCAAGTTTTAGATGATAGTAAGTAACATCAATTTTTTTCGATTTATGCATGTACCTTTTAGCACATTATTTACTTCTACACTAGTAGTCAAAATGAATGATTATGAAGTACTTTTTGTGCAACTCACGTATATTTGCGAAGAAAATAGTGAGTGTAAGTTTTAAGTGGAGGTTTCGCGGTTCCCCCTCCCCCACCCCATTACAGACATCCACCCCCCCCCCCCCCCCCCCGGCAGTCAGCAC